GAAGTCTTGGTTGAAGTTTTTGCATTCTGTCCATTACGTTTTAAAATGTTTGGTTCTTAAATAAGTGTAATGGTTTGAATTTTAATGGCTGTGGATGGAAAAAAAGACCACATGTTAACCTGACTAGGTCAGGGAAGGCCTGCATGGCAGTTTTGTAAACTCAAAGACCTAAAGTAACCACAAAAGATGGTCTGAAATTAAAACTAACTAAAAGCAGTTTATGGTGAGTAGTCACTCCTAAGCAGGTATCTTCCCTGACAAAGGTCAGTCTTTACCTTAACTGAGCCTACTGTCTTTTTGTATCTACGATAACATATCATTGGAATGTTAAAGTAATTTCCCTTTTTCTGGACCCCTCAAAGCAGAGGCGCCACTGTGGAGACCATTGTTATTGTTATGTTTAATTGTTGACTATTAACTACCCTGTACCTACCTACCTAAGTAAAAGAAGTATGTGTCTACATTTTACTTTTTTTCCAATCCCAGATGTTTTCCTACTTCGATTTCTCCCACCTCCCTAATCTATCACCAATAAATTTCATGTAACCCACTTACGTCCCCTCCCTTGATTGTAATGTATAAAACAAGGTAAAAAACTGCCATTCTCTGGAGCATTCTCCCAATATGTTGAGATAATTATCAACAGTTTGGTTTATATAAACTCACAAAAAATCTTTACAGGTTTGAATGTGTTTTTTTCTTGCATTAACATAGGCAATGATGTTAAGCTGCTTAACAAATAAATATTTATTGCCTGACTTTTCTTAGAAAATGACCATGGATGTTAAGTAGACTTACTGTGGTGCTCATGTCACCATATATACCCATATATTGAACCATTATGCTGTATATCTGAAAGTAATATATTGTTATATGTCAATTACATCTCAAAAAAAGAGAACATTTTACAGCAATTTGATATTGTCCCAGCTTCTAAGCTCAGGATCAACAGGCTCATCTCAATTAAAAAAGTATAAAAAAATGACCATAAGCAATGATAGGTTGAAGTTTTTCTGAGATATGAGTGTGATTGTTCAACTTATCTGATATAATAACAAATTAACATAAAACTGTACATTTCACTTTGAAACTTCAGGTCAATCCAATCTATACATGTGCATTGTGCTCCTATTATCTGGAAAAAAAGCAACAAAATAGAGTTTTATTTTAGATGTTTGTCCCAGTAGGTCCGCCACAATGCTCATAGTCCGTATCTATGAAATGATGACTCTGAACAGAAAACAAAAATACCAGACTTTCCTGATGGAGAGTGTGTGTGTGTGTGTGTGTGTGTGAAAGAGAGAGAGAGAAAGAAAGAGAGAGAGAGAGCGCATTCCAAATTCAGTCCCATATGCAGCCATGCTAATCTGCTTGCAGACCCATCTCACTTCCCAGCCCCTTCTTCCTCCCCCATGTGTGAAACAAGCTCCTCACCAAACCAAGTCTGTAACATTTTGAGAACCTCTCTCAAAATTCACACTCTTCACGTACCCTAACCCTTCTTGACCACATTTTTGTTTCCAACATTCGTGAAAGAAGCACACAGTGGAGGGTAGAATACCAGCTGCTCCATTTATATAAGTTTCCCTCCCTGTGGGATCAGAAGCATAATCATTTTTGTTTCCTCTATGTCTCTTAACAATCTCCATTCCGGGTGCAGAACACAGTAGGCATTTAGTAAATGTGTACCCACAGCAAAATTATAATGTTGTGCTGCCTCTGCACTGAACTTGACTGAAGCCAAACTTCACTCAATCCAGTCCGTGCCTAGACACACAAATAGGGCTGGTGAGCAATGCCAGGCTCCATACATAGTCACATGCGCTCTCCGCTGGTGTGGCCATTGTCCCCTCATGCCAGCTTCGGACACAAGAGCCCCACCTGCAAGCTACATCTAGGGCGAGCCCAGCTCCTGATCAACAGTAACACGAGGACACGCAGATCAACCATTCAGCCCCAGGCCAGCCCTGCCTTCATTCTGATACTAATCTATATTAGGATTGAAGAGGCATATGATTTTCTTATTGCTGATAAGAGGGTAGGAGAGCCAGAAAGAATGTTTTAAGATTATATCTTAGGCCCAAGCTCTCCTAGTGTGACAGCTGAGAGCATGTTCTAGGATGTTGGGTGACCTTGTGAAGGTCACAGCTATGAGCATCACTGGGTGAAGGACCCGGATCCTCTCACCTTCCAGTACAGCAATCCTTCCAAGCATCGTGCTCATCTGTCTTTCTAGCGACGTTAGCCTTATGCTGCTATTCAAAGAAGCTTCCCCTCTCAGAACAGACGTTAGTGCTGGAGGAAGAAAGCTCGGGGCAAACAGACATACAGGGTAGCAGATGGTTTTTCAGAAAAGCACAAGGGAACTAACCCACTCAGAGGCAAAATACACACACACACACACACACACACACGCAGGCACACACGCACGCGCACGCGCACACACACACACATATACACCTGCAACTTCAGCAAAACTGCCCGGTGGCTAAGGAAACAAGTCATCTCTGAAACCCTGTGGTGGAGGGAAGGGAGGCTCCTCTTGACTTGGGACAGTGCTCCAACTACTTTTGACTCCTTTCCCCAAATGCATAAGGATGGTACTAATATTTATGTTGTAACTCTAAAATTTTTAAAGGTTTTTCTTTTTAGTTCCTAGAGTCCACCTGTGAGAAATGCCATTGCCCGAATATTCTGGAGGAGTCATCCCTCAAAGGGATTGACAGGAAGGCAGGGTTAGAGGAGAAGGTGACCTGCTCCTTGTGGTAGACTCAGCAGGCTCTCTTCTCCAGGATCTACATTTCCTTGAAATCACCTTTCTTTATAGTCTACGTATCAATCCTTCCCCCTCACATACCCATACATACCTACCCACCCACACTCTTTTCTGAAAAGCTGAAGGCAGGGCGGCCTGCCCTTCGGGGCTCAGCCCCATGCCCGTCCCTCCAGAGCCCTCCCATGGCCTCCTCCACAGAGTCCCTGCAGCAATTCTATAATCCAAACAACACGCTTCAGAGCTTAATTCCCACCCCCGCACCAGGCTAGGTTTGCTATGCATGTGAGAAATTTCTTCCCAACAGCACCATTTCTTGTGATCAGGAAACAGACCTCAGGCTTGTGGGGTTTTCTTTTCTGATAACCTCCACAGTTAAGAACATGAGGATTAACAAGTGGGGGGGAAAAACCACAACAGCCTGAAGAGTGATTCACGTACTGTTCCTCCACTTATCATTTCCTCTGGACAGAGTAATCAACTTAGATTATATCAAGAATACTTCTTAGTTGGTTAATTTTGTCTAATAGAAAATATGCCTCTAATTAGATTTTTCTCCTCAAGTCTTTTGAGAGGCAGACTGGCCTTTGGTTCTGTTTCAAATCTTTCAAGGAAATTAAAGATACCGGGAAAGGAGGCAAAAGTTCCAGGCAATTTTCAATATGACTTTGAAGTTGAATGAAACATTAATAACTTGGGACCCTATTCATATTTCACAGTGATGCTTATTTGACCTTCATGTGAATTTTGTGTGTGTGTGATCAGGAAAAATTGTTCCAGAGGCTGTGCTTAAATAGGCTAAATATGCTTAAATATGCTGAACTCAGCACCCTGCATGGTAATGACCACTGAGATGTTTATTAAGAACTTTCATTTTCTTCCTACCGCAGCCAATTCAGCACTCAAGAAAAAGTAGATGCCAGGGCCTTCGTGCCTTGATAGCGATACCTACAGCTATGAGCAAAATATGTTAAGGGGTGGGAGGTGGCATACCCATGTACTCTTTCTAAGTTCAGGTTCAATCTGACCTGCCTTGGTATAGAGTCAAGCCTCCCAAAGCTTGCTGATGTAGACTGCATCATTTGAATTCTTCAGGTATTAAAACCATGAGGCCAAATGGACTCTGAAAGGTAGAATTCATACACAGCACACTTAGAATTGAGGAATTGACTTAGTAAAGAAACCGAGGGCTCGTACTTGTTTAAGGAATAAAAGAAAAACGTTCTATGCCTACATGGAGTTTTGAATCACATTTAGAAAAAATGGGACGTTAGGATAACCCTTACCTTCTCCCACCTCCCCAATATTTGCAGTCTATGATATTTTGTTTCTTTATTTTATCTGTTCAAATGAACTCCTCAGGGGGGAAAATAAGTCTTATGAACCAATTTTGAAGTGGTTTATTAGCTTTTTCCTATTTCTTTAAAATATAGCCTAGCTATCATTTATGGAATGAATTCCAGGCCCCCCATGCAAAAGGCTTGAACTGGATTCTCTCATTCAATCCTCAGGTAACCCCAGGAAGTAGGCCTGACTAGGAGAGGGAGGAGCCACGTGTCCAAGTCACGCAGCTTACACACAGAGTCAGGGGTGTCCACCTCGCCACCTCCCCATTCCCTGCCACATCACACCTGGTCCCACATCTTCTAGATGTGAGCAAGCCAAGACTTCATGAAAACCTGTGTGAAATGCTCCATGTGTCACACGACAGAGAGGCCTCTTCTGACAGAATGTTCTGTCACCTAATGAAATTCTCACACTTCTCATTGAAGAAACATTTTTTTTTCAGTCCTCTTCTAGCTGCAGGATGAAACCTGATTTTTCCCCCCTTTTTTTCAAGGAAAACGAGGAAAAGCAGCAGACACTGAATTGGGGGCAGAACAATTCAGTGATAATCTGGATCTGATACCAGATTTGCCAGGTCCTTCCCGACTTTTTTAGTATGTGACTTCTCAATTTTGCTGGAATGTTCAGCTGCCCACTAAACGTGGAGAGACACACCCCGGATGACCTGACAAACATATCTGTACTTGAATGGCTCAGTCCTGTGAAGCAACTAGAAATATTATTTTACCTGTTACCAAAAGTTTCAGAGTCACTGAAGTGAGTGAGTTGGCTCACATCCCCGCCCCCCAGCTATTCTCAGTTCTCATATGAAAGTAAAATACAATTAGAAGTTCTGAACTCTAGCCAAGAGTCCAAACCCAAGTTAGTGAGAAAGAAAGAGGGGAAAAAAATTTGTGTGTGTGTGTGTGTGTGTGTATTTTAAGGGGACTCCTTCTGCTACCATCCCAATTACAAACACATTCAAGCTTAAGAAGTTATAAAACACAGAGAAAAACAAAACAGAGTTTTGCTGGAGAAGCAATAAAAACAACATATTTATAAAGTCATTTTTATATCATTTTAAAGGTAAGATAAACTGAGGAAGAAAAAAAGTCCAAAGACATGGATTCATGAAACAGACTAAGAGATCTCAGGGGAAGGGAGGTGAAGGGGGTGGGAAGAGATTCATCAAAGAATTTATATGCATATATGCATAGCCCATGGACTCACACAGTATGGTGAAGGCCTGGGGTAAGGCATGGTGGGGGGGCTGGGTGGAAAGGGTCAAAGGGGGGGAGGGTAATAGGGGACATCTTTAATACTATCAACAATAAAAAATAAATTTAAAAAAAGATATTACATTATGGGGAGAAACCAAGATGGCATAAACACCGGAGATTGCTGCCTCACACAACCACTTCAAAAATACAACTAAAAGACGGAACAGACATCACCCAGAACCACAGGAAAGCTGGCTGAGTGGAAATTCTACAACTAGAAGGAAAGAGAAAAGCATACTGAGACTCAGAGGAGGTGCGATGTGGAAGTA